CATAATTGGCCCCAAAACTTCAATTTTCTTTCAATTTGGCCCCTGATTTCAATCAATTAACTTGGTAAAAATTAAATGTGGTCTCTTAAAATTTCAATCTTCTCAAATAAGCCCAAATTAGGCTCCCAAACTTAATGTTTTCACCAATTAAGCCCCAAATAAAATTAATTTGACCCATTTAAAGTATAATTAAGTCTTTGCACTTAATTAAATCCCTCATTTGGACCTAAATTAATTCTTAAACATAATTAAAATTTAATTTGGCCCATGATTAAATCAAATTGGCCTATTAAAAATTTAATTATGTTATTGGATTTAATTTCTATGCAAATTTGTCCAATAATCATTTAATTTGACTTCGAATTTGCATAATTTTTTTTTCAATTTTGGGTACAATGGGGCGCTAATAGGTCTTGAATCTCCTTCGAAAAATGCAGCTTGATTTTTTGCCTATTTTTTCAGTCTTTCTAAATCAACTTTATCCATATTACCAGCCTTTATTTTATTTTTTGATTTTTATTTTGAAAAAAAGTGAATTTTGGGGAATAACCCAGAATTGGGTTATGACAGCAAAAAGATTGTATATAAAGCCTTGTTTCATATTTATTTAGTTTTCTTTTCTTCTTCTTCTCTCATGGCAGCAAAGATAAGATATTCTCATAGGTTTTATTTATATTATAACTTATATTTGGGCTATCTAATGGGGGTAACATCTTTGTCATTGTTTTTAATAGGCTTAGTTTGTATTGGACTTGAGTTTGATTAATTAGCTAAGACCAAAGACTTGATTAGGCTTAATTGATAATTAGTCCTCAGTTATGGCCTAAAGCTTGTTTGGGTCCATACATTTAGGTTTATTAGTATAGGTTTTAGGTTAGTTTTATAAGTAGATCAATTTAGCCTACAAAGATACATCCATTAGAGTTTTATTTTCAAGAGTATAAATATTCTTTATAAGAAAAAAAAAAATCAAACATGATAATGCTATTGCTGCCAAATTTATTCAGCTTGTGTAAGAGAGATTCTCACATTCTTTGGTTCTTTAATGAATTAAATTGACTTATCAAAAATTAATCGGCTTCATGATATTTTCCTTATAATTCTTATTCACAAATTGATATTTGTAGGGTGGAGGTTTTTATTCTAATAGTGCTAATGCCTCATGAAAAGTTTTCATTGTATCATACTTCTATTAGACTTATTTTGGCTTTTCAGGATTTATTGTTAATCTAGTTAGGGTTGCATGACCATATGATCACGAGGTTCATATCAGTTGGTATGAAAACTAGGTTCTGAAATTAAGTTATATCATTTTGAGAACTTTGTTTTCTTTATGTTTCATAAGTTTAGTTGTGTTTTTCACTCTTCTTCTTCTTCTTGTGTTTTTAGAATCTAAGTACCAAAAAAAAATTGTTTTTTCATTTTGTTACTATCTCTAAACATATTAGTAATATATATAAAAAAAAAAATAAGAAGGAAGAATAGATGTTAATCAAGCTAGTTTCAATTTTATCGTGAAAACATAAACAATAAAGAAACTAAATCAAGCCATCCTAAAATCACTTTGAAGTTGATATATTAGTTATTTAGGGTGAAGTCACACTATATATTAAATTTGGGCTTTTTCTGATAACTTTTTACTAGGGTTTCAATTCTTAGTTAAATTTTACTGCAAACTGATTATATACAAGTTTTTGATACCTAGGTAGATAACAATCTATAAACTTAAATCATAAGGTTTGCATGTGATTATGTGGTCAATCAACCCACAACAAGATTGACAACAAATCTTAAAAAGTAAAAACAGATTTGATATGATCATAAGGTTCATATCAGTTGGTATTAAAACTAGGCTCTGAAATTACATTATATCATTTTGAAAACTTTGTTTTCTTTATGTTTCATAAGTTTAGTTGTGTTTTTCACTCTTCTTCTTCTTCTTCTTCTTCTTCTTGTGTTTTTAGATTCTAAGTACCAGAAAAAATAAAATTATTGTTTCATTTTGTTACTATTTCTAAACATATTAGTAACATAAAAAATAAAAAATAAAACAGAAGAAGGAAGAATAGATGTTATTCAAACTAGTTTCAATTTTATCGTGAAAACATAAACAATAAAGAAACTAAATCAAGCCATCTTAAAATCACTTTGAAGTTGATATATTAGTTATTTGGGGTGAAGTCGCTCTATATATTAAATTTAGGCTCTTTCTGATATTGTTTTACTGGGGTTTCAATTCTTAGTTAAATTTTACTGCAAACTGATTATATACAAGTTTTCGATACCTAGGTAGATAACAATCTATAAACTTAAATCATGAGGTTTGCACGTGATGATGTGGTTAATCAACCCACAACAAGATTGACAGCGAATCTTAAAAAGTAAAATAAGGTTTAATAGGAGCATGACATGTGACATAATGAAGACACGTCTCATGAAACCAACATTATTGAAATAATAACCCTCACTTTATGAATACCAATTCACAAATAAAAAGTATAAGGAAGATGCCACAAAACTAATTAATTTTTTATAAGTCAATTTAGCTCGTTAAAGAACCAAAGAATGCAAGAATCTTTCTCACACAAGCTAAATAAATTTGACTGCAATAGTATTATTATATCTTAGTATTTTATTATTACAAATACTATTTGAACTCTTAAAAATAAAAAATCTAATAGATATATCATTATGTGCTAAATTGATCTATTTACAAAATTGATCCAAACATATACTAATAAACCTAAATGTATGGACCCAAGTAGAGCTATAGCTAAGAATTAATTATTAATCAAGCTCAAACAAGTCTTGGGTCTTAGCTAATTAATCAAGCCCACAACCAATATAAACTAAGCTATTTATAAACAATGACAAGGTTATTGACCCCATCAGATAGCCTAAACAAAAGTTATAATAAAAATAAAATTCATGAAAATAAATTATCTTTGATGTTGTGAGAGAATAAAAAGAAAACAAAACAAAATAAATATAAAACAAGGCTTTATATAGAACCTTATTGCCACCACTATTTTCCTTGAAAACAAGGAAAACTTTTTACTTTTTACTTTCTGATTTTGGTGGAGAAGTTATTGCCACTTTGTTTTCTCTTCGAGCATGGACTCCTTTGTTTCCTTTGTTGTATACTTTCCTAATCTAACATGGAAACCAATAAATATAAAATCCTAATAAATCAAAAAAATAATTAATTTTATCACAAACCATAAACACTTCATAATAAATATGGAACCATAAAACATATAAAATTATAAAAGAAAAGGTTGGCTGAAACTTAAGGAAAATTGGCAACCTTGTTATTGAAATTTTAAAGCTAAAATAAAGTTAAATTGGATCCCTCTTGCACTTGAATTAAATTAACTAAAACCTCATATTGATGCTCCAATATATCTCCTATATTAGCCTTAGTTGAAACCTATAAAAAAACTCATTTAATGTGTCCTTCAATACCTTTGCTTTGGACCTTGTAATTGGTCCAACCGGAACATGCAATATATCTTTGGTAGTAATTTTGGGCTGATTTCCATCATTCTTGTTAGAAGAATAATTCGTCCATTTGCCAAATAAAGAGGGGATTAAGATAGTTGATTTAATTGACACATAAATTGTATCAAATTATGTTAAATGAAATAAGTGAAGTATAAATAAAAATCAAATTGCATGAAAAAGTGAAAGTAAAATTCATATTTTCTTTATGAAAGACCCGACACAGGATATTTTTAAAAAATAAGGATTGATTTATTTAATTTGGTAAAAAATTTATGCTTGAATATATTAATAAGAATGCCTAAGGGATGAGGAAAATGAAAATTTGTTGGAAAATTTTGAATACCAAAATATAGTGCCATTAGAGACCATGTTTGGCCAAAATTTTAGCAAAGGAGAAAGAGTCAATTCTATTTGATTTCTTGTTTAAATAAGTTAAAATGGATGAAAAGGAAAGGAGTGTGTGTGTGTGCAAGGAACTTTAAAAAAGTTGGACAAAAGGAAAACTTTTGGAATAAGTGTCCAATAGTGTTCATGTTATGATGTTTGTATTTACATGGTATCAGGAGAAACTGCGGGTTCAAAATAGCAGTAAAGGACTGTATCAAGAGCTAAGACACCATGTAAATGTTTTGCTCGACCACCATTTAAATTGTTAAAAGTTCTTCTTGTTAAATAACTATAATTTCTTCGTATGTATTTTTCTTTTTCTTTTTGTCTAACAAATTTCAATGGTTGTGGATGCAGTAAATGATGCAACGAGCCCGGGGGCAATTCAGAAGGCAGCCTTCGAATCCACAGCACTTGTCGTTGCTAGTCTTCGTCAAGTTTACTTGCAGCACAGCCTGTTCGAGCGAAAGCTCGGGATGCCCAGAGTTTAGATTGGGCATGCCACACAGTAGCTGTAGGAAAATGCAAGTTGAGCAGGATTTTAAACTTCCCTTTTGACTATTTTATTGGTTTAGCGGGAAGAGAGCATCTGTTGGGGAACGACCTCTTTGAAATTCTTTTGATAATGGAATTATACATGTATATCTTTTAGATGTTTTTTGCTGTTTTTCAGGCAATTTTTGGCCTTGAGCAAGGTCTGCAGGTGCTTTCTTTCCTTATTCTCTTCAAATTTTCCGGGATTCAAACTCGACCTTCTCTTTAGAGAAGATATGCTGGTGCCATGTGCTTTCACTTGGGTCTTGAACTTTTCTTGCATTTACACCATCGACGCCTCCAGTTCGCCATTTGGAAACGAGACTGCCTTTTATAAAAAGCAACCCCACAATTGCCTGTGGGGCCAGTTAACCAGTACTGCAGATATAACCTAATGCCATCATTAGAGTGGACTCATTTTGGAAATGAGGAATGACCAAAGTTGTCTCAGTGTTTAAGAACAGGAAGGCGTTGAAGAATTTCCTAATAATTTAGAGCCAAGCTAACAAAATCTAAAATGATTCAGTTTTCTTGAATAGTATTTAGTTATTATTAAGAGACAGAAAGTGTATGTCTTTTTGTATTGAAAGTTCAGGAATTCATTCTAAAACTATCTTGAAAACATTCTTTAACCAAACATGTTTGCTTTTTGTCTCTTCCCCATGTAACACTAATCAATCACAACCTTGGTGGCTTTTCTTTACTCACCAAAATGATTGAATGCAAGGAGAAGAAAGCATATCAGTGCATGATAGATACAATTATTGTGTATTTGTTCATTCCCCCCCACCATAACTCAGTTTTACATCACAAAAAAAATAAAAATCCAGCAGTAACAATCCTACAGCTCCTATCATCTTTAGTAAATATATTGTGGGGACATAGATAGTTAAACATACACTTCAGTTGAAGCCCTTATGATGGAAAGACATCGTCAAGACTCCACATGCGGACTTTGGATGCAGCAAAACCATTTTTTCTGAAAATCAGTAAATTATACAGGTTAAAATGGAAAACATAACAACCATGAATTTATGAGATAGAAAAGATTGTAGCCGGCCATGAGTTTGTTGTGACATTTCTGTGCTGTTTAGAAGGAACTTAAACTGCAAAACTAAATAATTCTCACAATGTTTATTATTAGTCCATTTCCACCCATCTAAATGGACTTTCACAATGGTGCCATGAATTACAATTGATTAGAAGATAGCCACATCCATGTGGAAAAGATGACCAGACCAGACAGTTCCGTGTCTATCCTCACAAAATCTCTGAGCAGAAATCGCTTGCTTGGATGACATGGTTAGACTATCTGATCCTTTCCCCAGCATTTTTAAGGCCATAAATTCTGCAACTTTCCCCAATCACCCTGACTTCTGTAAAAGCTCAATGATATCCTTCTATTTATAATGCAAAATGACATCCACAATATCACTGGCCACAGGTGAAAACTCAACAAAAATCAATCCAATGATAGGCCACATCAATTTTTTTTCCCTCTGTTTTGTTGCATATTGATCAGGGTCTCTTAAGTTGTTGATATCAATAGTAAACCCCGCACACTTGAAAATTAACATACACACAAGCATAGAAACATAGCCCATTCAAGCAAGATGTTACACGTTACTGGGAAAAGATCATGCTATCTTGGCTGGCTCATGTATGTGTTATTTGCAAGACACATCCCTGCTAAAAAAGCATTATGTGATGGGAAAAAAAAAAAAACTTACAGGCTGAGATTTGGCAGGATTTAATCCAGGCTTAACATGAGAATCAACAACCTTTCCTGGTGATTCCGGTTGGCCACCTGTCTTCTTCTCATCCCTTGCCTTGTTAAAAATTACAGTGAATCCCTCAGCAGATGCAGGATCATTGACATCCCATTCACCAAATTTTGGCAGTGGCCGACCTGTGTCCTGTAGAAAAGAAAGAAATGAAGAGAGCAGCCATCAAGATTTTGAGAGCTGGATAAATCAGGGAAGGGCCGTACATCGAGCAGCAGTGATTTTTCATTTAACAACAAAAACTACAAAGATTTAGAATTATGAGAACAGATGTTCAGTACAGCAACGTCATAATTTCACTGTGGTCCCATTGAGTAAAAAAAGGAGCTCAACAAATAATAAAGACAGCCAAAAAAATCATACAAACCATGTGCTCTAGTTCTACAGAAATAATTAACCAGAACTGAAACACAGTAATAGATTAAAACCTAAAGCAGACATCCCATCTAATACAGAGGAAACCACAAATATATTAAATCAGAATTGAATATGATCTAGTGTCCCATCACACATGCAGGAGTAGTAGAAGCTTAACAGCAAGCATTTATAATTCTTAATGCCCATAGCCATAAACAGAGGCAACACCACTATCTAACTAGGATTAAGAAATCTATGATCCAATAAATGGAGCTCAAACAGGCCATTAAAGTCCTGAAAAGCATAATGCAAAGACTAGCATGTATGAGATAAAAATGGCGTATTTTATTAAGCTATGCTAACATATTCAACTCATCAACTTCACTTTCAAGGATCTGCTCGCTTCAGCTTCCCAATCATATGCTTGTTCATGTTAGTGAGGCAATTAATTCTCTTCATTACAAAATGACATTTTCTTGATTCTCACAAGCACAAAAGGGTAAAAAAAAACCCACAAAATAAGAAACCAAAATCAAATCAACATAATTCATGAAGTAAGAAAAAAAAGAACATTTGTTGTAATCAGCAGCAAAATCCAAACCATAAAAAAATCTGATACAGATCAAAGAAAAAACCCAGCAAAAGTACAATTAGACAAAAAAGAATAAAAATAGAAACTTTAATACATACTCACACACAAGAATCGGTATGCATATAGGGATATAGACTATACAGAAACTACATACCGACATGAATTCTAGAGAGACTTTCAGGTGAAGCAGGGAATCTATTAACACAGAGAGAGAGAGACAGAGTGTGCCTTTTGGAGAGAGAGACAGTGTGAAACGGGCTTTAAATGGGCCTGTCTGTATTCTATCATGGAGGGTATCAACTGTTTATTTGTAATACTAACGACAATTTTAATGGTGCCGTTACTCTATCGTCATCAACGACTTGGCAAGAGTGTTGATAACGGAACGGGCACTCAGCTGGCAAACAGCGTAAATGGGAGAAAAGGTGCGCTACATGAAGGCAATCTGCACAGATAACTTGCTCGCTTGACATTGCATTCGTGAAGGGTTATTAAAAAAAATTATTTTTTTTATTTTAAATTAATATTTTTAAATTTTTTAAATTATTTTAATATATTAATATCAAAAATAATTTTTTAAAAATAAAAAAATATTATTTTAATATATTTTAAAATAAAAAACACTGAAAAAACAATTACTACTATACTTTTAAATACATCCTTATTATTTTATCTCGTATTCTATTTGTTTTTATATACATCCTTATTATTTTATCTCGTATTCTGTTTGTTTTTTTTTTAAAAGTATTTTTTTAAAATTAAAAAATATATATTTTCAATTATTTTTTTCAAATTATGTTAATATATTGATATTAAAAATTATTTAAAAAATTATTTTAATATAAATAAAAATACTTTAAAAAATAATCACCATCGTAATATCAAATAAACTTTTAATATAAGTTAACGGGTTAAATTTTAAGTTATTTTTAATATAAAAAAAGAAAAGATTGATATGTGAATGCAATTTTTATACCATGAAAACTTTTAATTGGGAATTAGAAAGCTAATAAGCGTGTTTTAACATAATATAATGAAAATTAAAGAAATTAATAAATTATAAAAAGAGTTATTAACACTAACCAGGAATTAAAGCGAAAAGTTAAAGCACATGATAATATTTGATCTCATATAGTGTTAAATTATATTACAAGAAAAATAAATTATTCATTATAAATGTAATAATTCAAATTTTGTAGACAAAAACGCAGTTGTAAATATAATTGTATTTTACTATTTGTTTTAATGTTGTTCATTGGCTGGAAATTGTAAGCAGTTAAAATTAATATAAAAAATTATAATAATATGAAATAGTTATAAAAAAAGTATCTCTTTAATCAAGTTATGTTTTTTTTTTATTGATTCATTTTTTTTACAAAATACATTTTTTTATCAAAAGTTTTGTGTTTTAGAAAAAAAAAACTTATCAAAATCTTATACGCAAGTTTTAATAAAATAAAATAATAAATATTGAATTGATAATTTTTGCAAAATTATATAAAAATCTTACAATAAATATTTTTAAATAAATATTTCATATGCATTTAAAAAACTATACATCTTAGATTCATATATACCTATCAAGAAATCAATTGCTAATACTATCACGGAAAAAACCTAATATTATTTTTTAAAAGGATATATTGGATAATTAATTAAACATCATTTATTTAATTTTATTTTAAAAGAATTAAATTTAAAAATTTAAAAATAATTTTTTTTTGTTAAAGATGGATTGACATCCACTTTAATTTTTTTTTTGGAGAAAAAAATATAAAAACATTACAATAAATATTTCATATATATTTTAAAAATCATGAATTAGATTCATGTATACCTATTATGAAATCAATTGTTAGTATTACTACGGAAAAAACTAATTTTATTTAAAAATAATTACATATTGAATAATTATTTAAATATTATTTAAATAATTTTATTTTAAAAGAATTAAATTAATAATAATAAAAAAAAAGAACAATAAAAAAATTTGAAGGTCAAGCACGCATCAGCTAGACATTCGTCTCTATCCAACATGAAAGCCCAAGCCTGTATGTCTTGCTCTTTATTTAGAGAACGATAAGTTGGTCAACTTCTCTGGTCACTTAAGGTGGTTCTGATAACTAGAAAATCAAGCTTTAAGATTTGGACCCTGAAAAATTAGGTTTCAATGATTTTCTTTACCTAAAAACTTTTATATGTATATAAAAACATATCCAATAAACAAATATAACTCTATTTGTAAAGCAAAATATTTTTAATCGGCCTAAAATTGAAAAATCAAATAAAAAAAAAAAAATCGGCCTAAAATTGAAAAATCAAATAAATAAAAAAAAAGCTTTCATTTTTCATGGCATCAATGAAAGCAAAAACCACATTTATTAAGTTCCTCTCTAAAATAAGAATTAATAAACAAAAAATTTAAAAATAAGAATTAATAAACACTGAATTCAAAGTATATGGTGGACAAAATCCAACCATTTGATAATTTTCTTTCTTTAAATTTTTTTTTGTAACTTTCATTTTTTTTCTTTTAATATTTAGAATTTAAAATGTAAAACAAATAAAATTTAAGACTAGGATAAAAAAAAATGGATCAAATATAATAAAATTTTAAAATTGAGGGACCAAAGTATAGATTTACACACCTATTGAATATTGAATAGTATATATAGAGAAAATGCTCGTAATTTTAAATTTAGTTAATTATCTTTTAATTTGTTATTTTTCAACAACTATAAACTTTTTTTATGCAAAATCAAAATGCCACGAAATCCCGAAATAATTTCCAACACCCGAGGCATGTGTGAACACAAAATCTAAAGGGAACAAAGAATATAAGACAAAAAAAATAATTCCAAGGGCCAAATTGAAAGAATTTGATTATTTTAAAATCATCTTTCTTTACTTATTTTAATTAAAATAAATATTTATAAAATTTTTAATGATTTAAATTCTCGGGAAAAATATGTATTTCTCTTGCCAAAATTTACCTTTTATTTTAGCAAAACCATGATTTATAACAACATGATTATTTGAAAAAAGAGTAGAAGCATGATATTTTAAATAATAACTCATCATTATATATAAAATAATTTTAAATGAAGATATAAAAAATTGTTTTAATTTTTTTATGCTACAATACTATATGAAAAATAAAAGAATAATTAATTATAAAAAATATATAAAAATAATAAATAATAAAATATTTATTTTACTCATATTGAACATCCATTTGCTATTTATAAAAAACAATGCACATATTATTTTTATATATAATTATAAAACTCAAATCTTATTTAAAAGGCATGAAATAATTAAATAATTTTTTAATATCATTGTAATTATTTATCTAAATATAATTTATTTTTTAGATATAAAAACTAAAAAAAAATGAGAGGATGGTCCAAAGAACAAGTCTAGACGACCTTCAAAATTCATACTTGCTTATATGTGCTTTGATAAAGTATCTTATAAAAATAGAGAACAAGGTGTTGTTCCTCAACAATAGTTTTTGATTGGAGTCCTAATTTTTAGATATTACAAATTAAGATTTTTAATATCTAAAAAATATAAAGGAAAAAAAAGCATCTTATAGACTTTTCAAACTCTATTTTCAATTATAAAACACATTTTAATTAGTATAAAAGCTCAAAAACAAAACAAATCAAATCAAAAATATTTTTAGCCCAGATTTTAAAAAATAAAAATCACTAAAAATATAAACTATTTTCATTGAGTTTTTCTATTTAAATAATATATAAATACCAAAATTAAAAGTATAGGTAGTTGACATTTGATCACTTGGAAGTTTCTCTCTCATCTTTATTTTTTTCCAACAACATTCTCTCATTCCTTTAAAATTAAGAATTGAAATATTAAACAAATATATTTTTATGAATAAATATAAACATAAAAAATTACCATTATCAAAGTTTAGAATGTTAAATATGAAAAAGTTTTCTTTTTCCGATGTCAATCACAGTCGTTTTAATTATTATTATTTTTTTACTTAAACTCTATAATTGCAATGGTAATATCAATGTTTAATGGAATGTAGTAACAATCTTTTCCACATTGAATATGCAAGAGCTTGTAATGCGAAGCAAAACCCAACATATAAAACCATGGAAAATATAACCTAGACGGACTAAAATGGGAATAAATAAATAAATAAAGTCTATTGATTAAAGTGCAAATAATTAATAACTTCAAGGACCTAAAAGAAAAAAAAAGGGTATGAATTGTGGGATGAACAACTTGATGTGGGAGCATAAACAATGTGATTAATTATAATAAAACTCCTTTTACGTAAACCATCCATGACTTGTAGATTTTTTTTTTATTTTGTTTATAGTGGATTAAAGTCTTAGATTTCATTAATAAAGTGTTGATATGGCGGTTAAGATACTGCTATATCCCTGCAAGAATAATAAGAATTTTAGAAAGCATTTTTGCTTCGTAGCAGTTAAAACACTGCTATATTCCAATAACTTCAAGGACCTAAAAGAAAAAAAATGGGAGTGAACATACTGTCATGCCATAGGGAGGGCAGTGAATTCGCCTCTTCATATCTGTTCCATTATGGCAATAGGAGCACTGCCGCTGCTCTCTTCTCGGTAACTCGATCACTCCATTGGTGATCACATGCCTGCTGTTGTTCTGTGAGCGGGTGTGTTGCCATCCAAGGTGGGTCTCGTGGCAGCTCACTAAAAATGAGAACAAAGGCCATGTGAAAGAGGCCCTTTTTGAATCTGCTGCATGCTTATGAGGCCAATATGTTTGGGCCTTCTCCTGGGCCGGCCTCATGCTCAGACATATTGTAGATGCAGTCACCGGTTCATTTTGGTCTACTTAACAAGCTCATACAGTAATGCCAGCCTCTGCATTGTGACCAAGTAGCACCGCAGGCATTTAATGCAGAGTTTGCGGGACGCTCAACCTAACCCAGCCTATTAATCAGCCCCTCAACTGGTTAGCTGGGCTTGGACCTCAAGTTTATCCAACATATCAGACATATCTTAATACATTTTTTTTAAAGATAAAAAATATGCCTAAAGATTTTTCATGCTAAAAAAATATAATCATATTTTTATCATGTTTTAAATGAATATTTTAACCAATTTATAATTATCCATTAGTCAAAATATCAAAAATCCCACAACAATTAATTTTTTATTTGAATTTTTTATTTGAAAATTTAGCTGTAGACTTCAATATTTTAGGGTATAAAATTACATTGTAAAATATACCTTCAAATATTCAAAATACAAAAATAAAAAAATAA